AGGGCGGGGCGAGTGGGAGGGTAGGGCCGGGGACCTGGGACCCCGCCTCCGCACACCTGCCAGTCTCCCCTCGGCCTCGGGGTCCCGAGTTCTGGCGAGAGATGAGAGGCTGTGTCCGCCCCTTCGGAAGGAGTTCAACGGCCCCCACCCCCCGTCCCCGCCCCAGTCCCTCGGGCCTTTCCTGCTACCCCTGCCACTGAGGGCTGAGGATCGCCGACTGACAAGGAGAACAGAATCCCACGTCCAAGCCAGGATCCCTTCCTGCCCTCAGCGGTCAGCCCTGGATCCCGCTGAACCCCAGATGTGCGGGCGGGGTGGGAGCTCCGGTGCCCTGATATCCGCCCAGCAGGAAGCGGGAGACAGAGATGATTCCTTCCTTCCGTCCTGAGGGAGAACCCTGCACAGAGGGACCATTGAGGAGCTGGCATTGTCTGCCTGATGAACCCAGCGTCTCCCTCCCTGAGTGGGCCACGCAGGATTCTGGCCAGGATCCCCTTGTACCCGGCTTGGCAGTGGGTCTGGGTGGGTTCCTGGCAAGCAGTACTTCCCTGGGTGCAGACAGCTAGGCCCCCACCTGCCCTTGGCCTTCCTACCCCTGCTCTGATTTTGAGAGCATAAGGCTTCATTGTCCCAGCACTGGTGGGGGCGGCCTCTCAATTCATCCTTGTCTTTCTTGGTTGGGAAATTCCCAGCCACGGGGGGCGGTAGGCAGGGGGGTGCATCCCAGGTGTCCTGCACCCCAACAGGAGGGACTCCATGAAGGTGACTCCTGGGGATCCCCCCATTGCCTAGAACTGTTCAGGGCTGTACCTCAGCCGTCTCGCATCCCTGGGTGAGGAGAGCCAGAGATTCAGTGCTCCTTGGCTGTGTGTCCCCCAGCGTTCTCCCAGCCTAAGAAGGCCCATCTTCCTGACCCCACCCATGGGTAGCTGCTTCTGTGAGGCTCAGGATCCTTAGGCAGAGCCAGGCAAAGGACACAGGCTCCTGCTCCCAGACCAAGCTGTGGATCCCAGTTTGAGGTAGGCTGTCTCCAGCCAGTGGGGACCACCACAAGGCTGATCCATCTCCCAGAGGGCCCACCCCACTCCAAATAGTTGCTCAGGCTACTGATGTGGTAGCAGCCTGGCTATTTTTAACCCATTTGGGAGGGTGGGGTGGGTGGGGAAACGGCTGGGAAGAGAGAAAGAGACAAGCTCTGAGAGAGAGTTCTGAAGAGGGAAGGATGTAGGGAGACCCTGTGGGGAGAAGCCAGCCCTGGCCTGCAGCCACTTTCCAGCTCCCCTGGGCCAGACCTCCCACCCCCAGCAGGTGGGTGGAGGCCCAGATGCCAGGTGCAGAAAGGGGAGGGGGCCCCATTAGGACTGGATCCTCTGAGGCTGTAGGAGATTCCAAGACCTAGAATAACCCCTTACCATGTTTCGGGGCAGCCCCATAGCTCCTCCTGAGGTCAGGATATCCTCCCACTCCCCTCAGAGCCCCTCAGAATCATACCCCCCCCACCCCAGAATGCCAAGCCAGCCATGAAGGCTGGAGAATACAAGTCCTGACTCCAGCCACCTGGCCTGTGGCATGGCCAGCCAGGTCCTACTTGCCCTGGGAGTCAGGGACGGGACTGCAGCTTCTCTTGGCTGAGTTCTGGGTCCAGGCCCACTCCCGAACCACTGACCCCAATCCTTGGGTCTGTTGCCCTAAAAGAGATCCTAGGGGACCTCATCCCTGCCGTGAGGCTGTGCATTCCCCCAAGTCTGTCCCCCGCCGCCTTTTTAAAAAATTAGTTTATTTATTTTTGGCTGCGTTGGGTTTTAGTTGCTGTGCGCGGGCTTCTCATTGCGGTGGCTTCTCTTGTTGCGGAGCATGGGCTCTAGGCACGTGGGCTTCCGTAGTTGTGGTGCGCGGGCTCTAGAGTGCAGGCTCAGTAGCTGTGGCACACGGGCTTAGTTGTTCTATGGCATGTGGGATCTTCCCGGACCAGGGCTCGAACCTGTGTCCCCTGCATTTGCAGGCGGATTCTTAACCACTGCACCACCAGGGAAGCCCCCCGCCAAGTCCCCCTTGAACCCCCAAAGCGGAAGCCAGCTCCCAGCACACCCCCAAGGAGAGCCTCAAGCCAGCTGAGGTCTGCGTGCAGCTGTGTGACCCCAAGTATGTCCATGCCTGCCAGCCAATCAGCTCCTCAGTTAACCACACAGCAACGGGCACTGGTATCCAAGGGGGCAGGGGTCAAGGCCATGGATCTCTTTCTTTTCCCTGCTTTGGTTTCCACCCTTACAGGAGACTTGACCTCACAGGTGATCTTATTTAGGAGAAAAATCGGTTTGACATTCTTTGGCATTTACTCTGTTTTCTGACCTCATTGTGGGTGGAGGGAGTCAAGGCCTGAGTGACTGAATCCTGAAGGGGGCTGAAGTCTCTCTTCTCCATCAACCCCCCATCCTCACCCAGGTTCAGCAGGCCCAGGAAGGTGGCCGGGCTTCCTGCGGGCACTGTATCTCTCGCTTCCCTGTGCCTGGGGCCCCCAAGGGATGGGATGGTGGTTGCTGGGGAACCCAGAGCCCTGAAGAGAGGCTTGGACCTGGTGTTGTAAGCACCTGGGTCTTCACAGAGAAAAGTGGGTAGTGGGTGATGAGGAAAAGTCCAGCAGGTGGCAAAAGGGCAGAGGGCACAGCCCAAGCTAAGTCCTAGCAAAGGAACAGCTGCCACCTCCCAGAGATGGGGTAGCTGGAGTGCTGGCAGGGTTAGCCAGGGCCGAGCCAGGGAGGCGTGTGTGAATGCCTGGCTAAGAGCCTGGGATGTCCGCGGGCTTCAGCAAGTCCTCTGAGTGAGGAGCTGGGGAGGCAGGGTACTGCAGAAGGGAGGCACTGGGAGGAGAACTGGCAGAAGGACCACGGGGCCTCCCAGGCTGGGTACCTGGGGAAGGGGTCAGGCTTCAAGCTGCAGGGAAAGGAGCTGGGACCTTGTTCTATCTTAAAGGAGACAGAAGTCCTCCCTGAGTTGGGGGCTCTCTGGAGGGAGGAGGGTGTGGGCATGGGCACTGCTGGGGGTGGGTTGGAGATCTGTGGAGTAAGAAGACTGAGGAATCCCCAGCGGCTGGGGAGAGAAGGAGGTTCAGGTGGAGGGTCAGGTTGTTGTGCTGGGGGCTGGGCTTGTGGCGGGGTGGGGAGGGGAGGGAAGGGGGCAGGAGGGGAGTCAAGTCTGAGAAAGGGCCCCATGAAACTGGGCTGGAAGGGGCAGCCGTGACTCCCTCGAGGCCTCCAGGCCTGCATGCCACAGGATGCGCAGCGCTGAGATGACAACTGGAGTGCACACCTGTGTACCCCACAGTGTGCCAGACCTGCCTGGCCCACCACTTACAACGGCAGGGCAAGTGAGGAGAGTGATCTGAGAGGTTCAGTCTCCCCCTAGGGACACACAGCTGGTGAGCAGCAGAGTCAGGATTCAACCCCACCCCTCTCTGGCTACTGGGGAGTGGATTCTTGGGGCGGGCTCTGGTCTGCCCTCCCAGAGCATCCTGAGCCCCCAACCAGTACTCCTGAGAGTCTCTCCCCCTGACTAGTAAGGGAATGTAGCATTTATGTTAATGTATGTTAATGAGTACAGGGTGCCTCCGGAGTCTACTTTGCTGCATTCCTGGCAACTCCTCCCCCCCTCCCCCAGGCAATGGAGAAGGAGAGGAGAGGGAGGCCCCACCCCCAGGCCCCTCTTCCCCCCACCCCCCACCCCCGTTGGGCAACGAAGAAAACAGAAGTGAGTGAAGAGCTGTGATGTGGCTGGTGGGGGGGGCTCCCCCATCGCGGAGGGGCTGACCTCAGCCAGGGAGGAATGTGCAGGAGGCGGAGGGCTGGGGCGGAGCGGGTGGGGGTAGGGCCCCAGCTAGAGGCCCAGGGTTCCGGGCGGCCCCTCCCTCAGTCCCTCCACCTCAGCTCTGACTTGGCCCTCAGAAGGGAACAGGCAAGGAAGGAGGGGAGGAGCTCATCTTTCCAAAAAGGTGGGCTGGGGGTCCTTGGGGAGCCTGGAAACCAGGTGGGGGGTGGATGAGGGAAATGCCTGAAAGACCCTTCCTGGGAGATCCCCTGGAGTGGATAGCAGATTGTCAGGGAAGTTAGGCCTCAGTTGGGCTTTCCAGGGCCCACTTTCCACCGCTTCCCTCCCCCCATGCCTAAGTCCTCAGGGTAGCACGTCCTAGTACCCACGTGACCGGAAGAGGGAAAGGTTGAGACTTTGGAGCCACCAGCCCTGATGGCTAAAGCAGGTGTGAGTGGGGAGCCAAGGCCCAACCCAGCCAAGGCTGGGCACTGGGAGTGTTGGCTGTAGCCTTCCTCAAATGGATGTCTCACCCCAGCCCAGTCGCACCACCCAGAGTCCAGGCAGGGTGCAAGGGGCAGGCCCAGCTGGCGATGAGGGCTGAGGAGCCAGGTGCTGGGACTTGGCACAATCCACTTATTTCCAGAAGGAAAAACCAAGGCCTTGGCAGGCTGTGCCACTGATAGGCAGCACCAGAGACCCAAGCTGCCTCCCCTGGTTTGTTCCGTTCTGTCGAGACCCAGGCCCAGGCTGCATAATTTCAGAATCCTTGGGGACTTCCAGAGCCCAGTGTGACCCACAGCCAGTGACCCTGCCCCTAGGGGGCTGCCTCCATAAGTTTCCTACCCAGGGTCTGCATACGCTGGGACCTGGGGCTGAGGAGCAGAAAGGAGACCTTGTGGGGATGGGGACAACTTGAGCTCCCACTCCTGGGGATCTCCCTTCCTGCTCCAGGGAGGGGGACACATCTGGAAGTGGGAAGGCAATGCCAAGGGCTCAGGTGAGTCAGGAACAGCCCAGTCCCTTCGGCTGGGGGTTGAGTCCCAGGGTGTTGGACAGATGGTGGGGGGTCCTGGTCCCATTTTCCAGTATGGACACTGGGTTGGGGGTGGGGATGAAACAGAGGCTGGGACCTGGGCCTGAAGAACTAAAAGCAGTGGGGGCAAGTAGGGGGTACCGTGCAGTTGGGTAGGGACCTCAAAGGCACTTGCTGATCTTGGCTGCTTGGGTGGAAAATTGTAAACAGCCAAAGAATTTTGTTTGCTTGCATGAGGCCAGGGGACGCTGCCCGGGTCCAAGGCAAAAGAGCCTGGGAGGAGGGAGAGGCCACATCCTGGAAGCCCAGGAGCTCAGGCAGGGTTATGTCACCCCCACTCCCCCTCCTGAAGGCCCCTGGTCCTCCCACTAACCCCCACCCTTCACCTGCCCACCAGCCAGCCAGGCTGGGCCAGAAACACCAGGCCTGAGGTTCAGGAAAGAGGGGCATGGCCCCACCCTGGATGGACACAGACACTTCTACTCCAGGGACTCGGCAGGAGATGGGCAGCAGAGCCATGCACACTTGAAGTGCCCACATGGCCTCCCTCACAGACCCCTGAGGAGCTGCTGATAGCCTTGGGGAGGATGCAGCAGGATGCATTTTGGGGGGATTGAGGGGTGGAAGCCCACCCTCAAGCCCTGGTATGTTCACCCAGGTGGACCTGAGGGCCCTCCTTGACCATTGTCAACATTCAACCCCTCCAAGGAAGTAGCCCTGGCAGTACAAACAGGGTGTGTCCACCAGACTCACCTTTAGGCCAAGACCCCAGACCCTTCCCAACTGAGGCGCTGAGGTGTAGGAGCCCCATCCTATCCTTGAAGCCCCCTTGGGTACCTCACTCTGTGTTTGGTGGGGCAGTTCCTCCCACCTTCAACCTTGGAAGAAAGACTGAAGTTCATGGAGATGGCATAGAATGCCCCTCACCTCCCAGCAGAGACATGGGACCACCGGTCATGACGGGGCTCTGGATGGTCCCACACCCTGCAGTGCAGAAGTGAGACTTGCCGCCTGCCTCCCTGCCCTGCCTGCCCCTCTGGCCCTCTTCTCCCGCCCCAGACTGTCTGTCATCAAAGCCACTGCCAGCCAGGTGGCAGAAGTACTAAGTGGCCCAAGCCCTAAGGAAGGACTGGGGCAGGGTCTTGGGGGCCCATCAAACCTCCACTTGAGAACCCCCGCTCCGACCTCTGACCCTGACCGGCCCTTCCCAGCTGGCACCTGGGGACTGAGGTGGCAGCTGAGCCCCTCATTACCCGCCTCCAGCTCCCAGCTATGGAGGGACAAGTGAAGAAACGAGTCCCTGGGGGTGCCCCATCTGACCAATCCCTCTGCCAGAGCTGCCTGGGGCTAGGGGGGTCTCTATTGCTTCTTCCTTATTTGCCTTGACTGCCGGCCTCAGTTCCAGGACCGCTGCGTGGGGCATCCTGTTGCTCTGAAGCCCTACGGGGGGAGGGGTCGGCCCTACCCGCCCCTCCCTTGTGCCCGCTCCGCTCTGGCCACCAACTCCAGCCGGTCCGGCTGCCTGCCCAGTCACCCGATCCGCCCCGTAAACTTGACGGCGGGGCGCGGCTGGCTTGGTGGGGGCGGGGGCTTCTCCTTAAAGGAGCCGTCAGAGGGTGCCCTAGGGCCCCTCGGCTTCTCCCCTTCTGCAGGGTGAGAAGGGGCCAGGGTGAGGAGCCGCTGATGCCGGAGCTCTCGGTGGAGTGTGGGAAGGCAACCTGGTGTTTTGTGACGTCGCAGACCTCACGGGCCCAGAAGAGGCAGCGGCAAGTGTCAGTGGAAGGAAGGAGGGAGGTGGGAGTCCTAGGGTGGGAGGGGTCTGGAAGCGGCAGAGCTAGGCGGGGGTTTGGGGAGAGCAGTCTGGAACGTGCCCCGGCAGCTGTGCCCCTTGCTTGAATGCACCCCAGGACCTAGCCCCACGCCAGGGCTACTGTGCCCGGCACCTGCCCAGCCAACTTCTGGGAAGGAGGGTGGGCATTGCAGCCAGAGCCTGACCCCATCTGAGAGGTCCAGGGAAGGGCTCTGGCTCAGAGAAGTGGAGGGTCTCAAAGATGGGGAAACCCTGAGGGCGAAGACGGGATGGAGAGGCTCAGGGAGACTCTGGAGGCTGGAGAGGGAAGGGCAGCTCACCCGAGCTGGGGGTGAGAATCTGCTTTAGGCCCTTGGCTCTCCCCACTTGATTCCTCTTGGGTCTGAAGTCTGAGCTCACAGAATTTCTGTGTGTGACCAGCCCCTCCCACCCTCTGGGGTGGGGAGAGAGAGGTCAAGCAAAAAGATGGGGCTGCTGGATCCAAGTGGGAGCAGCTCCCAAATCAGAAACTGAGGCGTCTGCCCAGCCCTGGGTCTCCCGGCTGCACTTATCCCTCTGAGAAGTGGGTTTCCGGAGTGTCTCAGAGTTGAAGGCAGTGATTGACGCTGCGGTTATAATATTTGCTCACCTGCATGTCCAGAGAGACTCATACACTTGTGCACAAACACATACACACATGTGCAACAGAAACACATATGTACTTACAAAGTGTACACCCCCAGACATGTACACACTGTGTAGACATGCATACAATGCCATGTGTGCACACATGCATGCCACACCTACATGTGTAATACAACACACATGCCACATGGTTTCACACAGATATGTACACATATGCCTGCATACACACCACATACACACATACTCACTACAGAATACAGATACACAAAAGGATCCTTAGAAGCACATTCACACTCACAGACGCCCACACCATTGGCTCCAGCTCCAAATGTGCTTCTGTTCCTCTGTGGGCCCGTGGGTGCACAGCTACCTCCAGAGGCCTGACCCCCCTCCTGTTACCGTCACACCCATGACTGTCTTGTTTTGCTCATTGCACTTGGCACCACTGCAATGGCTGCACCAATCTGAGTCCTTGTTGGTACTCTGCCCCCTCCTGCAGGAGGACCTTGTCTGTGTGCCCCACTGCCCCCAGCCCCAGTCCCAGGCTGGCATGACGTAGGCATGCAGAGTTTGTGAATTAATGCCTGTGGGTGTGTGTACATGAGGGCGGGTTACTGGGGAGGGTGACGTGGTGGGGCAGGCGCCTGCCAGTATGGGGTTGACCCCGATGGTGTGCCCAGCGTGGGTGTGTCTGTGATTGTGGCCAGGCAGGGCACCCTCCAAGGGAGAGGAGGACTTGCAAGTGGAATGCGACCCCCCAGCCTCTTTCCCCTAGGGGCTGTAATCTGATCCCTGGGGACTCCCCCCAGCCTCCCTCCCTAGCTCTCGCTGCAGCTCCTTCTCTTCCAGATCCCGGGGCAGAGTCCAGGGTGGCTCAAGGCTCCTCCACACACGCCCGCTGAACCCTGAGCTCCCTGAGCTGCAGGGATGGGGCGGGCTGAGGCCGCCGCCATGATCCCAGGCCTGGCTCTGCTCTGGGTGGCAGTGCTGGGGGGTGCTGCCCCCAGCACTCCACGCCTTCGCCTCTCCTTCCAAGGTAGGTGCACCTGGCAGGCGGGAGGGCCCACCTCAGGGTGGGCTGGAAAGGGGCCCAGTGTGGGTAGGGGGCGTTGTGTTTGCTGTTGCACTGTGTGTGTGCCACCGGCTGGGTTGGATTGGGGGCACGCTCAGGCCATCCCCAATTAACCCTTTCCTGGCCTCAGTCCCCAAGCTCTCTGCCCACATTCTCCTCATGCTTTCCCAGGAAGCATGGCAACAGATCCTGCCTCTGTTCCATCCCCTGCTCCCAGGGAAGTTGAGGTGTGGGAACTGTTAGGGCCCCCTTCCCACACCCCCTACACAGGGTAGTTACTAGGCAGTGGTATCATACTGAACCTAGGCTGGTGGCAGAGAACCCTTAGCCTGACTTTGGGGTTGGGGTTCTGGCTGTCCCAACATGCAGGCCTACCCCAGAACCCTTGCCTCCCCGTGCACTCGCCTGGAGACACTACTTGTCTGAGGTTGCCCTAGAAGCTCCACCTGCTTCCCCCATGGGGGCAGGGGTGGGCTGCACTGCCCACCCTGGAAGCTCTGACCCTGGGTGGGCCTGTCCCCCTGAGTGTAAACTCACACGCGTGTAAATTCACATGTGTGTGGGCCAGGTCACATGTACAACCTTGGCCTGGAAGAAGCTTCTAGCATGACTGGCGAATCCTCAGTGATGTCCCCACCCCACAGAGCTCCAGGCCCAGCACGGTCTCCGGACCTTCAGGCTGGAGAGGACCTGCTGCTACGAAGCTTTGCTGCTGGATGAGGAGCGTGGGCGCCTGTTTGTGGGCGCTGAGAACCATGTGGCCTCCCTCAGCCTGGACAACATTAGCAAGCGGGCCAAGAAGGTGCCAGGGACCCCCAGCCTCAGCACCGCCCCGGGAAAGAGCCCCGGGACCCCACTCCAGGCTTCCTGGAGGATGGGCCCCCTGAGTGGACGACACCCTCAGCATAGAGAACATCCTGAGTCCCTGACCTGTGTTCTCCCTCCCCCACCCTCCCCATAGCTGGCCTGGCCGGCCCCTGTGGAATGGCGAGAGGAGTGCAACTGGGCAGGGAAGGACATTGGCGTGAGTGTTGGCTGCCTGGGTGGGAGTGGGGAGGGTCAGCCCCTCACTCTAGAGATGGGCAGTGCTAAAACAGAAGCCTGCCTGTTCTGGCTATGATGGGGGCAGGAGGGTTGAGGTGGCTGAAGTCCAGAGGTAGTGAGTCAGGGTGGGAGCTATGTGATTCTTCTTGGAGGCCTCTGCGTCATGGGGGGCAATGCAGGCACGCTTCCCAATGAACCCATTCTGGTGAGAGGTGAGCCGGGCTGGTCACCAAGGGCACCTGAGCCCCTAGAGCCCATGTTAGTACTTGCCTGGGCTAATGCAGAAAAGAAGGGGTGGGAGTGCCACTGGTGAGCTGGGAGCCCTTAAGGCCACCTCCCTGGGGGAGGCCTCATTGTTCCTGCCCCTGCCCACGTGCGCGCTAGACTGAGTGCATGAACTTCGTGAAGTTGCTGCATGCCTACAACCGCACCCACTTGCTGGCCTGTGGCACAGGGGCCTTCCACCCAACCTGTGCATTTGTGGAGGTGGGCCAGCGGCTGGAGGTAAGGCTAGGTCTGGTCAGGGAGGGAGGTTGGGAGGGTAAGAAAGGGCCTACAGTAACGACTCCCCCCTGCCTCCCAGGAGCCCATGCTCCGGCTGGACCTTCGAAGGCTAGAGGATGGCAAGGGCAAGAGTCCTTATGACCCCAGGCATCGGGCTGCCTCCGTGCTGGTGGGTGAGTCCAAAGGCTGGGGCCCCAAGAGAGCTCCTGGAACCCCTCAGAGACTCTAGCATCTCACAAAGTCCCAAGACCCTCCCTAAAGCCCCAGGGATCCCCCATAGCCTCACTGACTCCCCAAGAGCCCCCAGAGCTCCATAGTGCCCCCAACCCACCACAAGAGCCTTTGGTTTCACTAAGCAGCCTTGCCGTGTCTACAGGGGAAGAGTTGTACTCGGGAGTAGCCGCAGACCTCATGGGCCGGGACTTTACCATCTTCCGCAGCTTGGGTCATCGTCCAAGTCTCCGAACGGAACCACACGATTCCCGCTGGCTCAACGGTGAAAGACTGTTGGGACTGTTGGGAGGGGGCCCTCATCTCCAACAGAGCAGGTGCTGAGTAAGGCCCATAAAGGGAGTGAGCAGTGAGTGCTCACCAGGTAGCTACCCTGGGTCAAGCCCTGCACTAGGCACTGGGTCACAGGGTAGACAAGATAGGTATGGACCGTGCCCTCTTTGAGTTCACAGACCTCAGATCTAATACACAATAAGATCAGTTCCAATGGCCAGGAGATATAATGAGAGAATGGAGAGGAAGGGAAAAGGAGACTAGGCAGCGGTGGTGGTGGTGGGAGGGTTGGGGAAAGGAAGCTACCCTGCTGAGAAAAGGTATGCGCTAATGCCCAAAACACAGCAGGATTGCGGGAAGAGCATAAGAGCATTCCAAGCAGAGGGAATAATTAGTGCAAAGACCCTGGGGGCAGGAACAAGCCAAGGAACAGACTCATGAAGGGAGCAATGATAAGGGGTCTGGACTGTCAGCACAGGGTAGGGCCAGGGTAGATTATTCTAAGAGTGATGAGACCCAGCAGAGTATTTGAAGCAGGAGTGGGGGCATCTACTTCCTGCTAGAGAGGAAGATTCATGAGTGAAGGTAAAACCAGGTACCCCATATCCCTCCTTTCTTGGCCCACTGGCATAGAGAACTGCCAGGGGAGAGGCGAGAGGCCCACCACTGGCCAGGGTCTGCCTGCCTGTGGGCCCAGATAGCCATGGTCTCTGCTGCCCTCTCGTGGCTTCTTCTTGACTCGCAGGCCCTCTTTCTTTCGATTGTGTCCTCGGGGAGCACCATCTGAACTTGGTCCCAGAGGCTGGGTGGTCAGCTGCTGCCCTGAGGGCTTCTGCCGGCACGAAAGAAAGGGGAGGCAGTGCCTGGGCCTCCTAGCAGGGGGCAGGGCCAGGACCTTGCTGACCCCACGCCTCCTGCTGTGGTCAGAGCCCAAGTTCGTCAAGGTCTTTTGGATCCCGGAGAGTGAGAACCCGGACGACGACAAGATCTACTTCTTCTTCCGTGAGTCGGCAGTGGAGGCCACGCCGGCCCTGGGACGCCTGTCTGTGTCCCGCGTTGGCCAGATCTGCAGGGTGAGGAGTCCCTGGGCCACATTCGGTGATCCTGCCACCGCCCCTTTGCCTGTCTGTTGGGGCCTCGCCCTCATCCCCTCCTACTGACCCCGCAGAACGACGTGGGTGGCCAGCGCAGCCTGGTCAACAAGTGGACTACGTTCCTGAAGGCGCGGCTGGTGTGCTCAGTGCCCGGTGCTGAGGGCGATACGAACTTTGACCAGCTCCGTAAGTGCCAATAATGGAGGATGGGGTGTGGGGAGGGGGCGCAGGGGCGCAGACCCTGAGCCTGGCTGTGCACCCTCCTCCAACTTGGTCCCTTCCCTGCAGAGGACGTGTTCCTGCTGTCCTCGCGGGATCGCTGGACCCCGCTGCTCTATGCTGTCTTCTCCACGACCAGGTGAGGTGTGCGAGGTAGTGGGGCAAGGCTGGCTGGGCCCCACTTGAGCGCCTTACTCCACTTACATCTTCACCTGCAGCAGCATCTTCCAGGGCTCCGCAGTGTGCGTGTACAGCATGAATGATGTGCGCCGCGCTTTCCTGGGACCCTTTGCACACAAGGAGGGGCCCGTGCACCAGTGGGTGTCCTACCAGGGCCGTGTCCCCTACCCCCGACCTGGGATGGTGCGTAGCCCTGGGACTCCCACCACAACCCACTTAAAGCTTCAGGGGTGGAGAACTTGGCCTGGGGTTTTCTTGGTGAATGTTGTGTCTTCTTTTTTTTATGGGTGGGAAAACATCATCTTCATTAGACAGGGCTCCTCAGGGGAAGGCCATGTTTCCCCCTCAGACCCCCAAAGGCAAGGCTGGAGCTCCTCTCTCAGATTCCCAGGGCAGGGCTCTGTCCAACACCCGCCCCCTGTGCGTGCGCGCGCACACACACACTCACACATGCTCCAGGTTCCGGGAGGTGTCCTGTGGAGGGCTGCCCACCAGGCCTTCATATCCACATCCTTGTCATGCCTCCTTCCCACCCCCCAGTGCCCCAGCAAGACCTTTGGCACCTTCAGTTCCACCAAGGACTTTCCTGATGATGTCATCCAGTTTGCCCGGAACCACCCCCTCATGTACAATTCGGTCCTGCCCATGGGGGGGCGCCCCCTCTTCCAACAAGTGGGTGCCGGGTACACCTTCACCCAGATCACTGCGGACCGTGTAGCAGCTGTTGACGGATACTACGACGTCCTCTTCATTGGCACAGGTCAGGGTCCTGCCATGACCACCCACAAGACCCAGCCCAGGCTCTTTGGCCTGTTAGTGGAAGCTCCCCCTGTTCAGTCCCATCTCCATATTTTTCCGGGGGCTGTGCCCCCATCTCCTTCTGGATGCTTCTCTGATTGCTCCAACCCACATTCTTCACCATCCCAACCATGCGGAGGGTGGAGGCCTCGGAGGTGAGGAGGCCCCTGGCCCTGGCTGTCAGGGAACACAAGGAGTCACTCACCTTCTCATCCCTGCAGATGCTGGCACCGTGCTGAAGGTGATCTCCGTCCCCAGGGGTGGCTGGCCTAGTGCTGAGGGGCTGCTCCTGGAGGAGCTGCACATGTTTGAGGTGAGGCCTAGCCCCCATTGCCTGGGGTACCCCCACCCCACGGAGCCCTGATCCCAGCACCCCTCCTCCCTCTCAGGACTCAGCTGCTGTCACCAGCATGCAAATCTCCTCCAAGAGGGTAAGTGACCAGAAGGCTTGCGGGCGGAATGGACCCAGCCTGTTCCCAGGTGCCCCCACCCCCATTCTTCTCTTGGTAATTACAAGCCCCGGTTTCGAGTACAGGCTCTGCCTTCACTAGACTGTGGGACCTGAGACCTCAGTGTTCCCTTTTGTCAAATGGGGGAAGGGATCCCTGACCTATGGGAGGCAGGCATGGGGCCACCCTCGGTCAGCCTGGAGCCCCTTGTACCCCTAGCACCAACTGTACGTAGCCTCTCGGAGCGGGGTGGCCCAGATCCCGTTGCACCGCTGCGCTGCCCACGGCCGCGCCTGTGCCGAATGCTGTTTGGCACGTGACCCTTACTGCGCCTGGGATGGGGCCGCGTGCACGCGCTTCCAGCCCAGTGCCAAGAGGTGGGTAGGATCAGGGGCGGGCTGCCTGGAGGGAGTCTTTATCTGCCCCTGGCTAAAAGAAGGGCTCACAGAGGCTCTAATGTCCCCTCTCCCCAGGAGGTTCCGACGGCAGGATGTAAGGAACGGCGACCCCAGCACACTGTGCACCGGGGGTGAGTGTCCCAGCTGCTCTCAACCCCCAACCCTTAAAGACTGCCCCACCCTGCCCTGCCTTGTCTGAATCTGACATTCCCTTTGCCCCTAGACTCATCCCATCCTGCGCTGCTGGAGCGGAAGGTGTTCGGTGTGGAGGGAGGTAGCGCCTTCCTGGAGTGTGAGCCCCGCTCGCTGCAGGCGCGCGTGGAGTGGACCTTCCAGCGCGCGGGGGAGGCGGCCTACACTCAGGTGAGCCTCCCCCTACTCCCCTCCCAACCAGGCCCTTGTTCCGACTCCTACGTCCAGGAAGTGCGCGCCCTGATTAATGAGGCCCTTGGCCTGCTCCGCACATCTAGATGCGATCCAGCTCCGCCCAGTGAGTCTCCGCCCAACCAGACCCCTAACGCCCAGTTTGGCCCCTTGCCTGCACTCCGCATCCTGGTGAGGCCCCATTCCTCTAACTAGGCTCCTGACGCCCGCGCCCCAGCCCAGTCCGAAGGAAGCCCCGCCCTTTCTCCGCCCACTGGGGGTCTCTGACGCGCCCCCACGTTCAGGCGAGCCCCGCCCTGGTCCCTAACGTCAGCCTCACGCTGATCCGGCCTGCAGGTGCCCGCAGAGGAGCGAGCCGAACGCACGATGCGGGGCCTGCTGCTTCGCTGGTTGCGGCGTGGGGACTCAGGCGTGTACCTGTGCGCAGCCGTGGAGCAGGGCTTTTCGCAGCCAATGCGTCGCCTGGCGCTGCACGTGCTGAGTGCTGCGCAGGCTGAAAGGCTGGCCCGGACCGAGGATGCTGCGCCCGTTGCGCCGCCGGGCCCCAAGCTCTGGTACCGGGACTTCCTGCAGCTGGTGGAGCCGGGCGGCGGTGGTACGAACTCCCTGCGAATGTGTCGTCCGCAGCCCGCGCCGCGCCCACCGCCTCCCGAGTCGCGGAGGAAGGGCCGCAACCGGAGGACACACGCCCCAGAACTGCGTGCTGAGCGGGGGCCGCGCAGCGCAGCGCACTGGTGACTCGGCCGTCCCCACACTGGGGACTGGGGAGGTGGCAGCAGCAGGGAGAGGGGGCGGCCAGACCCTGGGAAGCAGCTAGGGCCCCGGCACACAGCGGTTCCTGGTGGAGGGAAGACACCGACCCGACCGGCCCTGGCCAACAGGCAGCCATGCCGGCTTATTTATTAACAGAGAATAATCCTTGAATGCAACCCCGATAGGGGCGGCCCAGGCTGCGCACAGGGTCCAGCTGGTCAGGAGGAGGCAGAGAAGCAGGGTCCCCGAGCAACGACCTGGGTGGGGGAGGTGCCCAGAATGCCCACCCTGGGGGAAGGGCCACCTCTTTGGGCAGTAAGCAGAAAGCTGTGAACAGGCTGGGGGGTGGGGAGTGGGGGGTGGGGTGGGGGCAGGCCGACTGTACTAATGCAATAAACATGTTATCAGCTGAAGCTGGAACGGCCCCATCAGACAGCCGCTGGTCTTAGTGTTACTGACCCAGGTTCTTGGACTCTTTAATCAATAGAAGTTGGTAAGAGGCCAGAGGAGAAATTCGGGCAAGGCTTTATTGGGGCTCATGCTGCAGAACAAGGGAGTGAAAATAAGAAACAGGTGCCCAACAAGCAACAGGTGCCCTTGCTTGCTTGCTGGGGGAACAAGGGTTTGGGGGAGGGTGGCTCCGAGCTGGTTCCTTAAATGGAGTGAGAGTAGGGGCACATCCATGGGTCAGGCCAGAGGGGTGGCTTAGGTGGTCTGCCCACCCTCTTGGTGGTGTCGTGGGCAGGAATCCTGAGTAGTCCCCTGCTTTTGCTCCCAACACCTCAGAAGTGGCAGTTGGGTTTTTGTTTTTTTTGCGTCTTGCTCATAATTTGCCCCAGGTGCAGGTGTGTGTGGTTATTTTTACTCCCTTACAGTTTCTTGTATTCTGTTGCTCCAGGAGATGTTTGTCCAGGTGTAAGCACTGCAGCAAAGGGTCCCAGGTCCCAGCCTGTCTCATTCCCCCCTGAGGGATTCTACACCCTTTATTTTTAAGGATTAAGGGACCGGAGGTCTTCTTCTTCTGAAATGCCTTCCTGCTGGACAGGGGCTGCAGATCCTAATCTACCCTATAGGTATAGAAGTCCCTTGCTGACTGTTTTAGGGACCTGGGTTACCCTTGGCTGGAGTGGGTTGAAATCCTTGAGCCATCATGAGCCTTCCTTGAAACTGTTGAAGCCTAGAAAACACAAAATTAACCAAAAGCTTAAACAGACAAGGGCCAAAAAGGAGAAGAACAATAATAGCTACAAGAGAGCCTAGAAAGGGAAGGAATCAGGTTAACTTTGGGAGGGCTTCCCTAACTGCTGACCAGACAACGGAGGCGATATCACCCCTGCCAACATTGTGAAGCCATTCTGCCTGGGTGTATATTTCTTTACTATTAACTTCTGTCTGTCCTGTGACACTGATTTAGGTGCAGCAGGAAGTAATAGTTATCCCACAGATTCTGCCTTGTTCTGTCAGAAGGTAATCAAGAGCTAGATGATTATCAAGAGCTGCATTAACCAAAGTAACGAGAGGTCTTAAGTCCTGTTAAGGCTTGCCCTGTCTGTTTTATCACATAACCAAGCTGTCTGGTGAGATTTCTCAGTGTTGCTTCATGATAACGGAAGCCTCCCCATGGAGCTGCCAGTCCTATGGCCAGCCCTGCCCCTGCTAAGATCATTCCCAGTGCTCTCCGGGTTTGGTGGTGAGCGAGAGTGGTCCTGTTATAGATCACAATCCCTCTTAGCCCTGTAGTCCCCAGAGTGAACTCTCCTATGAAATGGACATTATCAGTGCAGTTATAGGCCATACCTTGGTTGGAAAAGGACAGGGTCTGGCCATAATTTTCTAACATATGATGGTTTGGATGTCTACAGAGGAAAACAAACCCTTCAGGGGTGCAGGCCGGAATGCCTATCTCACCGTGGTTAAGATTTGATAGTCCATGAAGGACATAGCTGTTGCTACTACCTGTTCAACTAGGGGAGGACAGCAAACTGTTTTTGGTAATTTAGATCATATGATGTTATAAGAATCTCTCTCTCTCTTTTATTTTTTTTTGGCTGTGTGGGATCTCAGTTCCCCAACCAGATATTGAACCCAGGCCACAGCAGTGAAAGCCTGAAATCCTAACCACTAGGCCACCAGAGAACTCCTGCAAAGCTCTTGTTAATGCAGTTAGCTCAGCATTGTGGGCCGATGTCTGTGGTGGCAAGGCCTTGGTTTCTATGACTTCATCTAGACCAACTATGGCATACCCTGCCTTCCGAGTTCCCATCTCTATAACACTGCTCCCGTCAGTAAACCATTTGACCTCAAGGCTGTCAAGAGGTTCATCTGGAAGATCAGACCTGCTGGAGTAAGTTTGTTCTATGATCTCTATACAGTGATGCAGTAAATCTCTACTCTGGACAACTGGAAGTAGGGTTGCCGGGTTCAGGGTTTGGCATACCTGTATGTCAGGGGTGTCCATGAGGAGAGCCTGATATCTTGTCAGTCTTCCTCCAGTCAACCAGTGAGGTCCTTTGACGTCCAGCACAGATTGTACTTGACGAGGCGTTAATACATCTATAAGTGTTGTCCCAGGTTGAGCTTGGAAGCCTCATTAACTAAGAGGCCTGTGGCTGATATTGCCCGCAGGTAGCTGGGCCATCCCAGGGTTATTGAGTCCAGATGTTTTGAAAAGTAAGCCACTGGTCTCTGATCTGGTCCCACATCTGATGCCAGCTTTTGGGTCAGGACTCCTAGCACTATCCCTGACTTCTCATGAGCATATACAGTAAAGGGCTTGTCCAAATTTGGAAGTCCCAGTGCTAGTGTTCTGTTTAACTCAGCCTTTAGAGTCTCAAAGTCCCATTGGTGGTCTCTATTCTGATGAAGGAGTTCCCTTTCTTTTCCCTTTAGAGCCTTATAGGAACTTCCCTGGTGGTCCAGTGGTTAAGACTCTGTGCTTCCACTGCAGGGGGTATGGGTTCTATCCCTTAGTTAGGGAACTAAGATCCCACATGCCCTGCGGTGAGGCCAAGGAACACACACACACACACACACCCCAAAAACAAAAACAATTATCTAGAGCCTTATATAGGGGTTTGGCTCTAACGCCATAATTTGGAATTCAGATATGACAGAACCCAGCCATCCTGAGAAAGCCTTGGAGTTGCCTCTTTGTGGTTGGAGATGGTAATGCACTAATTGCTATTCTTCAGTCTATGCCCAGGGCTCGTGCCTCTGGGGTTAAAACAAATCCTAAACACTGAACCTGTTGCTGTGAGATGTGAGCCAAGTTTGGGGAGACTTTATATCCCCTTTTTACCAGAAGATTTGGGACCTTAACAGTATTTTGATCTGAATCTTGTTTTGTCTCACTACTTATTAATAAATCATCAATATATTGTGGCAGAGTTCCCTTTTCAAGGCTTAGTTCTCAGTTCCCATGCCAACCCATTTCCAAAAAGAGGGGTGCTATCCCAAAAACCCTGTGGAAGCACTGTCCAAGTATATTGGGTAACCTCCAGGGTGTCAGGGTCCCTCCATTTAAAGGCAAAAAAGGTATTGAGAGTCTGGATGTAGGCGAATATAGAAAAATGCACCTTTGAGGTCCACAACAGAAATATCGAGTGCTCCCTGGCACTTCAGTGAGGAGGGTGAATGGGTTTGGCACCACTGGGTGAATAGGGATGATTGCCTCGTTTACTGCTCGTAAGTCTTACATAAGCCAATATTCCCCATTAGGCTTCTGAACAGGGAGAACTGGGGTGTTGCAAGGGGACTGGTAGGGCCTAATGAATCCATGTTTTAGGAATTTGGTGAGCAGTGGTTGGATCCCCCTCAGGGCTTTAGGCTGTAAAGAATATTGTCTCTTCCAGGGGTATTTTTCCCCAGGCCTTAATCTTATTTTTATCAGGGGAACATGTTTTGTCTTTCCTAACACCGAGGCATCCCACACTACAGGATTTACCTGTTGTCTAATTTTGGGGGGAATGTTTTGAGGAGTATTTTGATGAGTAGCAGATGGGTCATCTGGAGCTACTAATAGATGCATTTTCTGTTTGAATTTTTTACCTTCTTGGACTTCACCCTGTTCTAAGAATGTACTAGCTCCTCCTCTTCTGAGGAGGAGGACAGGGCATTCTGGCATATACAAAAAGCCTTGAGTAATAATAATGGGCCTGATTCGGTAGGCAAAGGGAGATGTAAGTCGCCTTACCTTTGGCTGTCCATCAACTTCCGTCGCGTTACAGTCAGGGTTGCAGAGGGGACCAGCCAGCCAAGGCAGAACAGAGTAGGTGGCTCCAGTGTCTACAGGAAATTCAGTTTTTCCTACTGGCCACGTCGGGGGTGACCCAAGGCTCCGCTGGAGTAATGAGAATGGATCTAGTGAGATCTGGAGCCAGGCAGGCGCTTGGGTCAGTCGGTATGTGGGAATCTCTTATCCGAGAGCTTTGCAAGGAACTGGGGTGGGTCGGGGGTGTTTTTTTGGTGTCCCACAGGAGGGCGCTAGGACATCCCCCCTTCCAGTGCTCCTCCTTCAGACAAAAGACACACTGGTTTTAGTCCAGGTGGCTTCTCGGCTGTTTGTCTGGTCTTCTCAGCCGTCTAGGGTCCCCTCAAGGTGGCAGGTAAATCAGAGTAGCCAAAAGCTGCGTTTTCTTGATTAGCTTCCCATCCTGATAGGCCTCCCGTATTAAGTCTTGGTTATTATAGACCTTGAAGGCCTCCTCTACCAAGGTTGACAACGGGATTTGGGACCCAGCCTCAAGCTTTTGAAATTTTCTCTTGCTATCAGGAACGGACTGGGTGATCAAATGCATGGCCAGTAGTGATGTCCCTTCTACAGACTCAGGGTCTGTATTGATGTACTTCCTGAATGCCTCTGAAACCCAGCTCAGGAACACTGCTTTTACCTTTTTTCTGTGTAACTTTTTTTTTTTAATTTTTTTTTTCTTTTTACTTACAGTGTTGTGTTAGTTTCAGGTGTACAGAGAAGTGATTCGGTAATACATAAACATATATTCATTCTTTTGCAGATTCTTTTGTCATATAGGTTATTACCGAATATTGAGTAGAGTTCCCTGTGCTATACAGTAGTAGGTCCTTGTTGCTATCTATTTTATATACAGTAGTATGTTCATGGTTTTCCTGTTGTTTTATTTTTTCGCACCGTGGGTATCTTAGTTCCCCAGCCAGGGATGGAACCCGTGCCCACCGCAATGGGAGCGTGGAGTCTTAACCAGTGGACTGCCAGGGAAGTTCCAGTAGTGTGCGTACGTTAATCCCAACTCCTAATTTATCCCTTCCCTCCACATTTACACCCCACCCCAGGGAATCGCAAGTCTGCATTCGGACTGTGAGTCTGTTTCTCTTTTGCAAATAAGTTTATTTGTATCACTTTAAAAAATTAGATTCCACGTATGAGTGATGTTATATGATGTTTGTCTTTCTCTTTCTGACTT